ATCTGTGGCTGTGTACATTCGTGGTGCGTTGGCTCCTCTACTGGTATGCGCCTCATTCAAATGTCGCCACAATTTAAATTGCAGGGTGTCTTTACACTGTCATAGCTCCTAGATAGATTTCTTCAGGACCTGAAAATCGCTGTGTTATTCACCATAGCTGCTGAGTCTTACAGTGAAAGACGATGTCAACGTATAGCATCGTTGTTACTTTATTATGTTTGGTTTTTTTAATCAAATCCTCCAAACAGGACCATTGTGACACAAAACTCTCACACACTAACACAAACTCTTTATACAGATACAGAGCTTTACATGTATAAATAGGCAGACAAAAATGCATAAACACAAGCTATCCACAGACTGTCGGTGGACGCATGTCACTTATTTGTTTTATCTTGTTTCTTTTTGGTGTAGCCTCATTAAACAAATGTTTATAAAATGACCACTTTATTATGAATTATTAGGAAATTAATTCATTATTAATTATTTATTATGAACACACCTGCCCCTCAAGTAGAGGTGGCAGAGAAAGTGTCGTGTGATGAGTCCTGTCCCAGCTCTGCTTCAAGGTCTTCGGTCCAGCTTGTTGAGGCCTGAGAGCAAGACGGATATCCTGGACCAGCTCTGACAAACTGTCCAGGTCTTGACTCCACCACGCACACCTCGCCAAGGTAGCTACACTGCTGTCTGTCAGCCATTTGCAGCCAGGCTGAGGTGGGTCAGAGAGCACTCGTCCTGCAAAACCAAAAGTCTTAACCTGATTGCACAATTATATCTTTCGACAATAAATGACATTGCATGATTTTTGCATGCACACTGTGACAGGACTTTGGCGAGTGTTCCAGTGCCGGGTAATCAGCAGGCCTCTGCAGACAGCTGACAGGTCCACGGTGGGAGGCAGTGGAGGGCAGTCTTTTTAACACCAGCTCAAGCGGTGGAGCCTAGGGGATTGAGGGACAGGCACACTGCTTTCAAATGGCCTGTGCCTGAACGTTCAGAAGATGTAAATTAGTTGCAGTTTGCTTATGGGTGGAGTTCAGTGAAGCTTAAGGCTTCAGTCAGCTGCTTGTTAGAGTCACCTGTGAGCGCGCTGGCTAGCAGCAGTCGATGCTGCTGAAGGAAACGAGCAGTGAGCCGCAGGCCTGCAGACCGCTTGGCTAGCACAGGGCAGCAGGACAGCAGACAGGACAGAGACTCAGACATGCCGTCCCCCAGTGGTTCATACTGAGGTCCAGCTCCTCCAGGCACTTTGAGTGGAAACGAGCAGAAAAGCAATGATCACGAGAGCCAATTCTCTCTGACAGATATCATTGATATGAATCAGGTTAGCTTGTTATTAAGATCTAAGGTAGTTATTAAGACCAGAGGTACTTAAATACAGGTTAGATGGTAACCTGGAGCTGCACTATTGGCTACTGAGGCCCTTACCGGGAATGCAGGTGCACCTGTCCCTTTAAAGCATTTACAGCCTTCTCCAGGCCGTCCCTGTAATGCAGTTGGCAGAAATGTCCAGCAGCTGCAGACGAGGCATGTGAGCGTTGTGGCAATCAGCTCAGGGAGAAGGTCGTCAGACATACGGTTTCCAGAAATTCGCAGCTCGTGAGGCTGGCCTGAAGTTTTAGGGACGGAGAGCGGCGAGGAAAGAGCGGCCAAACCGAGACACTTGGAGTCCTGACACGAGGAACCCGGTCCCGAACTCATAGCCGGGAGACACGCTTGTTCTCATCTACAGGTAGAAAGAGATGGTACTTATAACAGAATACAAGAATGCACATGTGTCCGTTTTATAATGCATTTCCTCTGTGTTGCTCACCCACTGCCAGACTTTGACAGGCCTTCTTGTATCGCTCAGGAGAGGAGGGAGATCGAGCAAACTTCAGCCAGAACCTGCAATACAAACCCATCAGTTATCCTGCACTGGTGCAGGAAAGTGAAGCCAAGGATTCAATCCCAAAAACTGTGATTCCTTCAGTGTCTTCTGGAGCTGGCTCCAAAAGCAAGTCAGCATCCAGTCTGGTAATAGAATGGTTCTAATCTTTACAGTTTCTCAGATTGTAGTTTCTCAGGCAGCTTAACATAATCAGCCCTTCACCTTCTTACCAGAATCATACAGTCTAAACCTGCACGCCTCATCTGGGTAATGAAGATGAAGTCATTGTGGAAGGACCTAGAACCTCCATTCTTCTATCAGTGATTTAAAAAGACTCTGTGTCTATGAGAAAGTCTATTATGAATTTGGGCCATACTTTGCCTAAGAAAGGAGTATGCTCACTGGCTGACATGCAAGCTGTTTCACAGTCATAGCCGTCCTCTTGTCACTGTGGGTTTTTTAAAAAAAATCCAAGATAGCACAGTGACAACATTTGTCTTAAACACTCGTGATCAGACTTCATCAACCAATCATGTAGTCTCAGCATCTTTTAAATTGTCTGTGGTCAAGTATGGTCACTTCTGGCTCTCCTCAGTGTCACCTCACCTCTTCATTTGTGTGCAGGACGGCCAGTAGCTGGTCCTGCGGGAGAGCAGAGCGCCTTCTTTCTGCAGAGAGAGACGAGGCAGGAGGCACATTTCTGGTAGTAACGCTGAGCTGCCTGCTCACACAGCCACGACACAGAGCAGGAGTTGGCCTCACTGGGATGCAGAGCAATGACCGGCGATTAAACAGAAATAAAACAAAACACACAACAACAACAAAAAACACTATACCAATCAGATTGGGATTTATTTTATATAAGATAGGTTGATCTTAAATATGATCAACCTATCTCTAATAATCGGCTATGTACCACAGGCCTTCAAGCTGGCTGTAGTTAAACCTTTACTCAAAAGCCATCTCTAGACCCAGCAGTCTTAGCTAATATAGGCCAATCTCCAACCTTCCTTCATATCAAAAATCCTTGAAAGAGTAGTTGTCAAACAGCTAACAGATCATCTGCAGAGGAATGGTTTATTTGAAGAGTTTCAGTCAGGTTTCAGAGCTCAGCACAGCACAGAAACAGCTTTAGTGAAGGTTACAAATGATCTTCTTATGGCTCTGACAGTGGACTCATCTCTGTGCTTGTCCTGCTAGACCTCAGTGCAGCGTTCGATACTGTTGATCATAATATCCTATTAGAGCGATTAGAACATGCTGTAGGTATTACAGGTACTGCACTGCAGTGGTTTGTATCATATCTATCTAATAGACTCCAATTCGTGCATGTAAATGGAGAGTCCTCTTCACACACTGAGGTTAATTATGGAGTTCCACAGGGTTCAGTGCTAGGACCAATTCTGTTTACATTATACATGCTTCCCTTAGGCAGCATCATTAGAAGACATAGCATACATTTTCACTGCTATGCAGATGACACCCAGCTCTATCTGTCCATGAAGCCAGATAACACACACCAATTAGTTAAACTGCAGGAATGTCTTAAAGACATAAAGACCTGGATGGCCGCTAACTTTCTGCTCTTAATTCAGATAAAACTGAGGTTATTGTACTCGGCCCTGAAATCTTAGAAATATGGTATCTAATCAGATTCTTACTCTGGATGGCATTACCTTGGCCTCCAGTAACGCGGTGAGGAACCTTGGAGTCATTTTGACCAGGACATGTCCTTCAACGCACATATTAACAAATATGTAAGACTGCTTCTTCATTTGCGCAACATCTCTAAAATTAGAAATATCCTGTCTCAGAGTGACGCTGAAAACTAGTTCATGCATTTATTACTTCCAGGCTGGACGACTGTAATTCATTATTATCAGGATGTCCAAAAACTCACTGAAAAGCCTTCAGCCAATCCAAAACGCTGCAGCAAGAGTCCTGACAGGGACTAGAAAGAGAGAGCAGATTTCTCCTGTTTTGGCTTCCTTCATTGGCTTCCTGTTAAATCCAGAATTGAATTCAAAATCCTGCTCCTCACATACAAGGTCTTAAATAATCAGGCCCATCTTATCTTAATGACCTTGTAGTACCATATCACCCTATTAGAGCGCTCCGCTCTCGCTCTGCAGGCCTACTTGTTGTTCCTAGAGTATTTAAAAGTAGAATGGGAGGGAGAGCCTTCAGTTTTCAGGCCCCTCTTCTGTGGAACCAGCTTCCAGTTTGGATTCGGGAGACAGACACTATCTCTACTTTTAAGATTAGGCTTAAAACTTTCCTTTTTTCTAAAGCATATAGTTAGGGCTGGACCAGGTGACCCTGAATCCTCCCTTTGTTATGCTGCAATAGATGTAGGCTGCCAGGGGATTCCCATGATGCATTGAGTTTTTCCTTTCCAGTCACCTTTCTCACTCACTATGTATTAATAGACCTCTCTGCATTGAATCATATCTGTTATTAACCTCTGTCTCTCTTCCACAGCATGTCTTTATCCTGTCTTCCTTCTCTCACCCCAACCGGTCGCAGCAGATGGCCGCCCCTCCTGAGCCTGGTTCTGCCGGAGGTTTCTTCCTGTTAAAAGGGAGTTTTTCCTTCCCACTGTCGCCAAAGTGCTTGCTCATAGGGGGTCATATGATTGTTGGGTTTTTCTCTGTATCTATGAAGCGCCTTGAGGCGACTTTTGTTGTGATTTGGCGCTATATAAATAAAATTGAATTGAATTGAATTGAATACTGCTCAAACTTAAAAGTTTTCACCGACTTTTGTGGAACTGGGATCAGGAAGACGTCTTCCTGAACCCGGACCCTCATTCTGATTGGTGGAGGAAGTGACGTGGGCATAGGAGCAACCAAAGTTTGAGTTGGAGGCTAGAGTAAACAAAATAAAACATTCAAGCACTGTTAAAACATCTGTATTTAATGTCATCAACTCTTTGTAGAAAGACAAAGCAGAGTCTGTACTAGAGAAATCAGGAGACCTGACGAGGGCAGTATTACGCCTTTTATACCTCCAGCCTACCGTAAATTCAGTAGAAGAAGAATAGCAGCAATGGCGCCATTGAGAGATCCCATCGCGATCCTGAATTAAGTTTGAAGATGTTGGTTTGGCCGTGTCGGTTGTTGTTGCAATAATGTCTTCAGTTCAGAATCTTAGAGAGTTTATCAAGGAGAGATTAACTTCTGCTGCAGAAGAAATCTTCTCAGAGTTTGAAAAAACGATCGTCCGGTATGAGGAAGAGATCCGTCAGCTAAGACTGCTTGATATCAGACCCGGGATAAAGTCACACAATACAGGTGTGGAGGTGTGAGGGTTGCGGGATCATCGTGTGATTCACGTGGGCATGATCTAAATGCATTGAACTAGTAATACACCACAGTAAAGTGTATGAAGTTATATCTGTGCAGTGTTGAGAGGTTACTTTTAAAATGTTTTCCACGAAAGATTACAGAATACATGGCCCAAATGGAGTTTGTAACTATTCCATTAAGTTACTCAATGTGAATAACGTATTCTGAATACTTTGGTCCGGATTACTTTATTACTTGCTTGTTACAACTACTTGAATGTACTATTGCTGTGTGAATTATTGCTATAACTGAAGGCTACTAGCCACCGAGCTAACATTGTTAGCTGGCTTTAGCTAAAGTTATTTCATAGACTAAAGACTGTTAGACTTGATTCATAGCATTAACATCCTGCTAGCTACAAACAATCATGTGCAGTTCTGAAAGCAATCTCAAGTAATTTTTAAATCGTGATGTAAAATGAGTAACAGTAGGGTGGACATTAGGCAAGGCTGCAGTTTTTGCAGCGATCTCGTATAGAACACAATTTCTGTATCAGTAATAGGTTTCTTTCTGTTTGCTTTCAGAACTGCACATAATTATTTGCAAGTAGCAGGTTGTAATGCAGCCTTCAGTAATAGTAATGAGTCACACAGCAATAGTACATCGAAGATTCTGAAGTGAGACATAACCTAGATAGCTACATAAACTAATACAAGGTAGTTGTAGTAGGCTTACGTTAGGGCTGTACAATCAATAAAGATGAGGCAGAACCTGGTAGCTCCAAACAGAAGGACCAGTCAAAACAAATGAGGATGTTATCCTAAATGAGGGGCTCCCCCTGTTGCATGGACATGGTTTGGTTATGAAAAGTCTGACACGGATCAGAAAACTGTACTATGGAAATTATGCCCAGACTGGTTCCCACCACGGACTCAAACACGACAAACCTCTTCGACCACCTACGCATGAATCATGTGAAAGTTTGTGGAGAGAGTTTATAGATGAGAAGCAAAAAAGAGCCATCAGGTGCTCAAAATAAACCTTAGACTCATACGTTAGAACAGGCTTTTCCCCCACGTGTAATAAATACTCAAAAAGAAAATGGCGGCCGTTACAACATATATCTAAAAATATATAGTGCATTGGTCAAAATACTCGACTCCAGGTACACGACACCCAGCTGAAAACACTTCATGAAAGTCAAGTTGCCCGATATTCACAGAATTTACAGAAAAAGCACTATTTTGTCATATATATCATTATCGGGACGAGAAACGTCTTATATTGGGATATGAGATTTTGGTCATGTCACACAGCCCTAGCTAATGTTAGTCTTTAAAAAAAGAATGTACTTCCAGATGTTTCTTTCGGGTGGAGTCTTTATAGTTGAGAGCAGCTCGGTTTCTGGGTCCATTGTATAACTGACGCCACCAACATTACCAAGAGACTTACACTAGAGCTTCTTGTTGCGTGTTTGTTTGGGTTTCCGGTAATGCGTGAAATCAACAAAATTAGAGAGGGTATAGCCTGACATATGAAACAGGAAAAGACCATCGTGTAATCCATTTATTTAGAAGTAACTGTATTCTAATTATTACCAAATTATCGGTAACTATCGGCGGCACGGTGGTTAGCACTGTTGCCTCACAGCAAGAAAGTCCTGAGTTCAATTCCACCATCAGGCCGGGTCTTTCTGTGTGGAGTTGCATGTTCTCCCCGTGTTTGCGTGGGTTCTCTCCGGGTACTCCGGCTTCCTCCCACCGTCCAAAGACATGCAGCTTGTGGGATAGGTTAATTGGATAATCCAAATTGCCACTAGGTGTGAATGTGAGTGTGAATGGTTGTCTGTCCCTATGTGTTAGCCCTGCGACAGACTGGCGACCTGTCCAGGGTGTACCTCACCTTTCGCCCTATAACAGCTGGGATAGGCTCCAGCGCCCCCCGCGACCCTGAAAAGGATAAGCGAATGGATGGATGGATATCGGAATACAGTTACTCATGTTTTGTATTTTAAATGCATAATGCCAGTACATGTATGCCGTTACTCCCTAACACTGCATCTATGTAAACATACTTACGGCCACTTTGTTAACTACACCCGTTCAACTACTCTTTAATCCAAAATGTAATCAGCCATCAGATGGCAGCAGTCCATGCATTTCAGCATATAGCGATCAGTGACGGTGATTGAAATCACTTTGATCATGGTGTGGGTGTTGGTGCCACATTGGCTGATCTGAGTATTTCAGAAACTGCTGATCTGTTTAAATTTCCAGCACAAACATCTGCATGATTTACAGAGAGTAGTCCAAAAAAGAGAAAATATGCAGTTCCCTTAAAATGACATTGAGTTCTCTGTACTCGGGTCTCCAGAGTTACCAGCTCTCAACCCAACAGAGCATCTTTGGAATGTAGTGGACCATGAGATTTGCATCATATTTATTAGTAAAATGTTAAAAGATTAGCATTAACAGCATATCTTACCTGCCGTCGTAAAATACTTTAAGCTTTCATGATCATATTCAGATCATGCTGCTGTTCATTTGTTTGTTTATTCACAGTGTGTGATGATCACTGGCAGTCACATCTAAAAATCAGACCCCAGACAGCTGTAAGGTTATCAACATCATCCAGTGAACAAATGACTATCAGTGAATGTTTCTGTGGCAACATAAAACGCAAGCTAAATTCTCAATAGGTGACCGTTTTCATCCTTCTTGAGCTTTCTTATCATCACATTAGTCACTATTTCTTGTGTCCTTTTGTTGAACACGAAGGTCTGGATGATCAGCAGTTCTGTGACATGAGAGGAGCTCCAGTCTCAACCAGGAGGACCCAGAGCCTCTACAGACTAAAGAGGAACAGGAGAAAATCTCCACCAATCAGGAAGGAGAGCAGCTTGCACTGAAGCAGGAGGATGAAGGGATTAATGTCTGGACCGGAGAACAGCTGGATTTGTTGTGGAAACCTGGATCACGGCTGACCAGATTTGGTATGTAAAAGTGTAATAAGCAGATTTCATAATATAGAAATGAATATGACTTATAACAAAATGTCACAAAGACACATGGCGTGCATTACCGCCTGGGATACTGCCTCACTGGAGACATGTTTTCTGTTTCAGATTTAAGTCATGTTAGCCCAGAACTGTACGCAGAATGTAGAAAAATGTTGAGACAATGAAAACTGTGGATTATTGGCCACAAGGACCAAGTTGGAGTAGTGAGCTGTACGCCTCATAAATGATGACTTTCTGCATGTAAACAGAATTCTTCTCTGTTCGCTGCATGAGAGAGAATATTTAAATATCGCTCACATATCTGAGAGACCTGCTCACAGTGTGACTTTTTTCTTGTGTGTTCTGTCCATCAAGACCTCCCACAGCAACATGATTGTAAGGAAAATGAGGATCTGGATGACCCGCAGGTCTGTAGCCAGGAAAGGAACTCCAGTCTGGACCAGCAGAACACAGAAACACTATAAAATAAAACTACAATATAAGTATATCATTATCGGGACGAGAAACGTCTTATATTGGGATATGAGATTTTGGTCATGTCACACAGCCCTAGCTAATGTTAGTCTTTAAAAAAAGAATGTACTTCCAGATGTTTCTTTCGGGTGGAGTCTTTATAGTTGAGAGCAGCTCGGTTTCTGGGTCCATTGTATAACTGACGCCACCAACATTACCAAGAGACTTACACTAGAGCTTCTTGTTGCGTGTTTTGTTTGGGTTCCGGTAATGCGTGAAATCAACAAAATTAGAGAGGGTATAGCCTGACATATGAAACAGGAAAAGACCATCGTGTAATCCATTTATTTAGAAGTAACTGTATTCTAATTATTACCAAATATCGGTAACTATCGGCGGCACGGTGGTTAGCACTGTTGCCTCACAGCAAGAAAGTCCTGAGTTCAATTCCACCATCAGGCCGGGGTCTTTCTGTGTGGAGTTTGCATGTTCTCACCGTGTTTGCGTGGTTCTCTCCGGGTACTCCGGCTTCCTCCACCGTCCAAAGACATGCAGCTTGTGGGGATAGGTTAATTGGATAATCCAAATTGCCACTAGGTGTGAATGTGAGTGTGAATGGTTGTCTGTCCCTATGTGTTAGCCCTGCGACAGACTGGCGACCTGTCCAGGGTGTACCTCACCTTTCGCCCTATAACAGCTGGGATAGGCTCCAGCGCCCCCCGCGACCCTGAAAAGGATAAGCGAATGGATGGATGGATATCGGAATACAGTTACTAATGTTTTGTATTTTAAATGCATAACGCCGGTACATGTATGCCGTTACTCCCTAACACTGCATCTATGTAAACATACTTACGGCCACTTTGTTAACTACACCCGTTCAACTACTCTTTAATCCAAAATGTAATCAGCCAATCAGATGGCAGCAGTCCATGCATTTCAGCATATAGCGATCAGTGACGGTGATTGAAATCACTTTGATCATGGTGTGGGTGTTGGTGCCACATTGGCTGATCTGAGTATTTCAGAAACTGCTGATCTGTTTAAATTTCCAGCACAAACATCTGCATGATTTACAGAGAGTAGTCCAAAAAGAGAAAATATGCAGTTCCCTTAAAATGACATTGAGTTCTCTGTACTCGGGTCTCCAGAGTTACCAGCTCTCAACCCAACAGAGCATCTTTGGAATGTAGTGGACCATGAGATTTGCATCATATTTATTAGTAAAATGTTAAAAGATTAGCATTAACAGCATATCTTACCTGCCGTCGTAAAATACTTTAAGCTTTCATGATCATATTCAGATCATGCTGCTGTTCATTTGTTTGTTTATTCACAGTGTGTGATGATCACTGGCAGTCACATCTAAAAATCAGACCCCAGACAGCTGTAAGGTTAAACATCATCCAGTGAACAAATGACTATCAGTGAATGTTTCTGTGGCAACATAAACGCAAGCTAAATTCTCAATAGGTGACCGTTTTCATCCTTCTTGAGCTTTCTTATCATCACATTAGTCACTATTTCTTGTGTCCTTTTGTTGAACACGAAGGTCTGGATGATCAGCAGTTCTGTGACCATGAGAGGAGCTCCAGTCTCAACCAGGAGGACCCAGAGCCTCTACAGACTAAAGAGGAACAGGAGAAAATCTCCACCAATCAGGAAGGAGAGCAGCTTGCACTGAAGCAGGAGGATGAAGGGATTAATGTCTGGACCGGAGAACAGCTGGATTTGTTGTGGAAACCTGGATCACGGCTGACCAGATTTGGTATGTAAAAGTGTAATAAGCAGATTTCATAATATAGAAATGAATATGACTTATAACAAAATGTCACAAAGACACATGGCGTGCATTACCGCCTGGGATACTGCCTCACTGGAGACATGTTTTCTGTTTCAGATTTAAGTCATGTTAGCCCAGAACTGTACGCAGAATGTAGAAAAATGTTGAGACAATGAAAACTGTGGATTATTGGCCACAAGGACCAAGTTGGAGTAGTGAGCTGTACGCCTCATAAATGATGACTTTCTGCATGTAAACAGAATTCTTCTCTGTTCGCTGCATGAGAGAGAATATTTAAATATCGCTCACATATCTGAGAGACCTGCTCACAGTGTGACTTTTTTCTTGTGTGTTCTGTCCATCAAGACCTCCCACAGCAACATGATTGTAAGGAAAATGAGGATCTGGATGACCCGCAGGTCTGTAGCCAGGAAAGGAACTCCAGTCTGGACCAGCAGAACACAGAAACACTATAAAATAAAACTACAATATAAGACGAGAAACGTCTTATATTGGGATATGAGATTTTGGTCATGTCACACAGCCCTAGCTAATGTTAGTCTTTAAAAAAAGAATGTACTTCCAGATGTTTCTTTCGGGTGGAGTCTTTATAGTTGAGAGCAGCTCGGTTTCTGGGTCCATTGTATAACTGACGCCACCAACATTACCAAGAGACTTACACTAGAGCTTCTTGTTGCGTGTTTTGTTTGGGTTTCCGGTAATGCGTGAAATCAACAAAATTAGAGAGGGTATAGCCTGACATATGAAACAGGAAAAGACCATCGTGTAATCCATTTATTTAGAAGTAACTGTATTCTAATTATTACCAAATTATCGGTAACTATCGGCGGCACGGTGGTTAGCACTGTTGCCTCACAGCAAGAAAGTCCTGAGTTCAATTCCACCATCAGGCCGGGGTCTTTCTGTGTGGAGTTTGCATGTTCTCACCGTGTTTGCGTGGGTTCTCTCCGGGTACTCCGGCTTCCTCCCACCGTCCAAAGACATGCAGCTTGTGGGGATAGGTTAATTGGATAATCCAAATTGCCACTAGGTGTGAATGTGAGTGTGAATGGTTGTCTGTCCCTATGTGTTAGCCCTGCGACAGACTGGCGACCTGTCCAGGGTGTACCTCACCTTTCGCCCTATAACAGCTGGGATAGGCTCCAGCGCCCCCCGCGACCCTGAAAAGGATAAGCGAATGGATGGATGGATATCGGAATACAGTTACTCATGTTTTGTATTTTAAATGCATAATGCCGGTACATGTATGCCGTTACTCCCTAACACTGCATCTATGTAAACATACTTACGGCCACTTTGTTAACTACACCCGTTCAACTACTCTTTAATCCAAAATGTAATCAGCCAATCAGATGGCAGCAGTCCATGCATTTCAGCATATAGCGATCAGTGACGGTGATTGAAATCACTTTGATCATGGTGTGGGTGTTGGTGCCACATTGGCTGATCTGAGTATTTCAGAAACTGCTGATCTGTTTAAATTTCCAGCACAAACATCTGCATGATTTACAGAGAGTAGTCCAAAAAAGAGAAAATATGCCGTTCCCTTAAAATGACATTGAGTTCTCTGTACTCGGGTCTCCAGAGTTACCAGCTCTCAACCCAACAGAGCATCTTTGGAATGTAGTGGACCATGAGATTTGCATCATATTTATTAGTAAAATGTTAAAAGATTAGCATTAACAGCATATCTTACCTGCCGTCGTAAAATACTTTAAGCTTTCATGATCATATTCAGATCATGCTGCTGTTCATTTGTTTGTTTATTCACAGTGTGTGATGATCACTGGCAGTCACATCTAAAAATCAGACCCCAGACAGCTGTAAGGTTATCAACATCATCCAGTGAACAAATGACTATCAGTGAATGTTTCTGTGGCAACATAAAACGCAAGCTAAATTCTCAATAGGTGACCGTTTTCATCCTTCTTGAGCTTTCTTATCATCACATTAGTCACTATTTTCTTGTGTCCTTTTGTTGAACACGAAGGTCTGGATGATCAGCAGTTCTGTGACCAGGAGAGGAGCTCCAGTCTCAACCAGGAGGACCCAGAGCCTCTACAGACTAAAGAGGAACAGGAGGAAATCTCCACCAATCAGGAAGGAGAGCAGCTTGCACTGAAGCAGGAGGATGAAGGGATTAATGTCTGGACCGGAGAACAGCTGGATTTGTTGTGGAAACCTGGATCACGGCTGACCAGATTTGGTATGTAAAAGTGTAATAAGCAGATTTCATAATATAGAAATGAATATGACTTATAACAAAATGTCACAAAGACACATGGCGTGCATTACCGCCTGGGATACTGCCTCACTGGAGACATGTTTTCTGTTTCAGATTTAAGTCATGTTAGCCCAGAACTGTACGCAGAATGTAGAAAAATGTTGAGACAATGAAAACTGTGGATTATTGGCCACAAGGACCAAGTTGGAGTAGTGAGCTGTACGCCTCATAAATGATGACTTTCTGCATGTAAACAGAATTCTTCTCTGTTCGCTGCATGAGAGAGAATATTTAAATATCGCTCACATATCTGAGAGACCTGCTCACAGTGTGACTTTTTTCTTGTGTGTTCTGTCCATCAAGATCTCCCACAGCAACATGATTGTAAGGAAAATGAGGATCTGGATGACCCGCAGGTCTGTAGCCAGGAAAGGAACTCCAGTCTGGACCAGCAGAACACAGATCCTCCACAGACTAAAGAGGAACAGGAGGAAATCTCCACCAATCAGGAAGGAGAGCAGCTTGCACTGAAGCAGGAAACCAAAGGCATCATCATCTGGACCGGGCAGGAGCTGGGCATCATGTGGAACCCTGAAGTAAAGTTGCACAGAATAGGTATGCAAAACTTTAATAGATAGATTCAGTTTTGTATTAAGAAATCTAACTCATGTTGGGTCCTAATCAGACCTCCAATATACTTTATAGAGGCACATGAAGAATTTAAAGACCGACTGCAATAAGGAAACTGACGTAATATTCTAAGAGCCAAAATGTCTAGCCCTCCCAGTGTCGCCCCTGTCAGGACTGTCTTATGTTGAAAATAATTGAGTACAAGAGAGAGGAAGACACCCTACAATGAGTTGAAACGTCAGCTTGTTATTTATTCCTCCATATTCATATTTGTCATTCATATGGTCACTTTGTTTGTCCCTCCAAATTGCAGTCGTCACTCCTTCGCCTGTGCTGCGCCCCTGCACCTGCAGGCACACTTACAGTGAATATCAAATTTAATAACAGGAAATTAACTAGGCATGTACTTTTCTTTCTTTTTTTGGCCACATTTTTCAAGTGACCTATATTTGACAACAGCATATAAAAAAATAAAACAAAAAAAAGAACTTTAAATTATGTTTTTGGTGTGCCATCTCAATGTTTTCAGTGGCCCCCATATGGCCACCCATATGAAAAAATTCTGGAGCCGCCCCTGTACATTATGACTGAGTACATCCACTAAACCTTTTGTGGATAACATAACAATCCCCATGAGGACTGAACGATCAATTTAAAAATAAAATATATCGATTTGAAACTAAGCTTTTAGCAAACCACACAACACTATGATAGGTGTGTCCTTGTGCCATGTGTTTCTGGGTCTTTCTTCTTCTTTCCCTTTGGATTCCAGCACAAGGCCTGTGTAGTGATGTTATTGGTGGACTTCCTGATTGTGTGGCCAATCCAGCACCACTTTCTCTCAGAACTGTATTGCTATTGGTTTCTGGTTTGTACTTGTCCACAGTTTGTAATCCTCTCTGGCCACTGGATACGGAGGATTTGTTTTAAGCAGCTGCTGATGAATGTCTGCAACATACAAAGCGCTGTCTTTGCTTCATGTTTACGAGCTATAGAGAAGTATAGGTGTGACCTTGATTTTAAAAATGCTCAGCTTCAGAATCAGAATCAGAATACTTTATTCATCCCGAGGGAAATTAGGGTTACAGCAGGCAGCACGCTAATGGCGCATGCGCACTTACAAAGGAACCTTCTGACCAACTTTACACAAACATCACATTGGGCAGACATGGACATTATGGACAATGCTGGGCATCCTCTGCACACGGCCATTAACAACCAGAAGAGTCTGTTCAGTGACAGGTTGCTTCTCCCAAAGACAAGAACTAACAGACTTAAAAACTCCTTTGTCCCACACGCCATCAGACTGTTTAACTCCTCCCTGGAGGGGAGAGGGAGGGGAAACAGGAGGACAAAGGAGGGGGAACAACTAAGCTGTAGTGCCTCTTCACCTCACTGTGCAATACCTTTTGTGCAATACTTTTGTAAATAGTCAACGGTGCAATAGACTCAATACTTGAAATGTGCAATTCACTTGTATTTTTATTTTTATTCCTATTTATTCTATTTATCCCCTTCGTATATTTTATTTATATTGTCTCTGTATTTATATATATGTGTGTGTGTGTGTGTGTGTGTGTGTGTGTGTGTGTGTGTGTGTGTGTGTGTGTGTATATATATATATATATATATATTATATATATATATATAATATTCTGTAACTCTGTAACTTCTGTCGGTGCTGTGCTTTTTTGGAAATCGAATTTCCCAGAGGAACCCACCCGAGGGATTAATAAAGTTCTATCTAATCTAATCTAATCTAATCTAATCTAATCTAACATGTCAGAAAGGTAGGCTGATAGGAAAAAACAACGAAAATACACTACATGAGGTAAGAGGTGGAGAAAAAAACTCCACTCAGACTGAGCTCCTAGTGGGAGAACAGTTTGATAACAGAAAAAACACCTCAGCACAAAAGCACAAGACTATCAATACACCATAGAAACACAAGACAAGCAACAGGGGCGGGTAAAGGGTAAGAGAGAGCCGGTGTAGACAGCGCATCCGGTCCTGCAGCATCTGTGCTGGTCCAGTTGACTGCTATCTTCCCCGGTAGGGCACAAGCATCGAAGGCGTTGGAAAGGGAGAGGGGATGAGTGAGTGCTTATCAGTGTAAGTGTGTGTGTCTGCGTGTCCATAGTTTAGCTGAGACAGTGTCCTTCGGCCTATCAGGCTAAGTAAACAGTCCTCCAGCCAATCCAGGTGTCCTTGCATGGGATGGGAAGAATAGCCGTAACACAGCTTGGTGAAATTTCTGACCTCTTGAGTTTCAAACATTTTTTAAAATGATGTTGTTTATTTTTTCTTACTTTTTTTACACTAAATTTACTAACCCAAGGTGTTATTCACCCCTACTGAGATTTTCAAAGGTCGTCAGCTCAATTCTCCTGCTTTTGTTGTGCAAACCACCCATTATCTTTGAGGCCTGGCACGTTTACTCAGAGTAGCTCAGATCCAAGGCAGGCCAAACCTCTGTGTTACAACCTTCAGAAATGCCTGCCGTATCTATACAAAATATCCCACACATTGACTGACCTGCAAATGTGTAAGACACATTCACAATATATGGAAACACAAGTCTGTTTTATTTATAAAAAATTGTGTGAAAACAGAATGAAAAGTTGCTAATACAATGACATGAGTGACATGTGTGATCTCCCCAGCGTTGCATGTTCTCTCCTTTGCCTGTTCATGTAAAAATAGCAAAACATAAAAAATTAATTCTGTCCCTCAGTTCCAGGTTGGTTCATCTCTTCATCTTTCTGCCTTTTGTCTTAGGTTACTCTCCCACACAGTCTGTCTGTCTGTGTCATAGTCTGTTTGCAGCATTCAGCAATGCAGTTCCTTGACTCTCACCACAGATCTTCCATTGTGACTGTGTATGTGAGGGAGTGGCATTGCATTACTTCAGCACAGTGCTGTGCATAAAAGCAGACAGCCCAGGCTGGAGAATCATTTCTTCTTCGCATTTCTGACAAGGCACATCAGGATGGCCTCTGTATCACTGCCTCACAGGAAGAACATCTGCGCGCAACAGGCGCGCATCCATTTCCTTGCTTCAGGAAATGGATGAAGCAGACTCTGATGGAGGAGAGGTTTCATTTGTCCAGCAGGCCACTGATACCTCCTCAGAAGAATCTAAAAAGGAGACGGAACAAGAACCCAACATGCCTCCATGGAAGAGGCACCGTGGTACTGGGAAGCCCAGTCTGAGCCACACGGCAAAAGACGGCACTGTGTGGGTAGAGGAGGACATTGGAATGCCCAGTGCAGTAGCAAATCGCTCGTGCTTCACTCGTGCTGGACCCACAGAGTCTGCTAAGGTCTGTCATTGCCATAGTACGTAGGGCTGCTCAATTAATCGAATTTTAATCACGATTACGATCTGGGCTTTCAACGATCATTAAAAATGACTGAGCCGATTATTAGCCCCTCCCTAATTTATCCGCGACACCTTAAAGGCCGGTCCGTGAAAATATTGTCGGGCATAAACTGGTCCGTGGCGCAAAAAAGGTTGGAGACCGCTGATTAAGAGGACCCGAGGGAAGCTCGGAAAGCTAAGCAGAAGTTATTTGGAGAGTGACTGCCGTTGGTTGAAAAGAGAGTTTAAAAAAAAAAAAACTTCAGTGGTGTTGCACACTATTTTATATTATTTTTTTAAAGTCATTGTTAACCCTTTAAAGCCGGTCAGAGCAGCACGCTCCGTTTTGCGTAACTATTTTTAAATCCCTGTAGAACCTGAACCGTGTAAGCTAGCGCAATAATTTGTTTTGCATATGAAACCGGAGGAGTTGTACTTACATCTGATGCCATCAGCTTGTCCTCGGTCACGGTTTCGTTCCACATATAGCTTTGCAAAAATTGCATAAAAAGCGCTTGCAGGAACAAAAACATAATATTCCAGAAACACGCTTTGCCGTTCCTATCAGCTGTTCGTAACACTTCCACAGTGAAATGATGCACATGCTGTTTTCTTTGCAAATTTGCATCATAGGATTGTTTTTTGTTTTTCCTGCAGTATATAAAAATTGCTGTATCTCCAAAATAAAACTATGAAGACACTCAAAATAAATTTCCTGTGGTGGGAAACTATTTTTTTGCAACTTTATTGTATTTAAAGTTTTGAGGGATAAGCCCCTTAAATTTCTCCAAGTAGAAATATACAGTGGGGCAAAAAAGTATTTAGTCAGCACCGACTGTGCAAGTTCCCCCACTTAAAATGATGACAGAGGTCAGTAATTTGCACCAGAGGTACACTTCAACTGTGAGAGACAGAATGTGAAAAAAAAATCCATGAATTCACATGGTAGGATTTGTAAAGAATTTCTTCGTAAATTAGGGTGGAAAATAAGTATTTGGTCACCTCAAACAAGGAAAATCTCTGGCTCTCACAGACCTGTAACGTCTTCTGTAAGAAGCTTTTCCGTCCCCCACTCGTTACCTGTATGAATGGCACCTGTTTGAACTCATCATCTGTATAAAAGACACCTGTCCACAGCCTCAAACAGTCAGACTCCAAACGCCGCCATGGCCAAGACCAAAGAGCTTTCGAAGGACACCAGGAAAAGTATTGTAGACTTGCACCAGACTGGGAAGAGTGAATCTACAATAGGCAAGCAGCTTGGTGTGAAAAAATCAACTGTGGGAGCAATCATCAGAAAATGGAAGACATACAAGACCACTGATAATCTCCCTCGATCTGGGGCTCCACGCAAGATCTCATCCCGTGGGGTCAAAATGATCATGAGAACGGTGAGCAAAGATCCCAGAACCACACGGGGGACCTGGTGAATGACCTGCAGAGAGCTGGACCAAAGTAACAAAGGTCACCATCAGTAACACACTACAACGTCAGGGAATCAAATCCCGCAGTGCCAGACGTGTTCCGCTGCTGAAGCCAGTGCATGTCCAGGCCCGTCTGAAGTTTGCCAGAGAGCACATGGATGATACAGCAGAGGATTGGGAGAATGTCATGTGGTCAGATG